ATTTTTATGTTTTAAAATGTTAAGTACATATATTCACATGTGTTATAGCCTAGATTGGACGAATTCATTGAAATGGTAAGAGGAGAATAATGCATATTAATGAATACGTCCATAGGTCACGTGACCCTTTTAGGCAAATATCTCCTAAATAGTCCATGATGGACAACCAATCAAGGCTGGATTGAAAGACATATACTAGAGTAATCTAACRACATATTTTGTACCAATGGTCAAATTTTTCACCCCATTTTCTCTTGAAATTTGGARTTTTCCCAAACTAGATGGTCACGTGACTAACGGACTGCCATTCTGGTAACAAAAATTTTGTACCTTCGTTGAAAACTAACCTGTTTCAAAGTTACATGGTTACACTATTAAAACAAAGAAAGAAATCCAAATTTAACTAAAATTGTGAAGAATGGCCGACTGACCCAAACCTTAACGCCCWTGAGTACCATCAGCGACCCAATCATCCAACAAAGGAATCAGCCAAAAACCTATGCACCACTTCTTCTAAAAGGATCTCTCTGAATGTTGCAGCTTCTGGAGAACCTCCATCTGTCATGTCATGCGCATGTCTGTTTGCTGTGAAGCGTGCAGTGGAAGAGGCCAGGAAGGAAACTGGAAATGATGTCCATTTCACTCTTGGTACGGTCTTGCCTATCTGAGTATTTTTCGTATCAAATGGATGCTATTTTTTATCTTTCAAAAAGTACAGGTAATAAAGAGTATTAGTCTCATCATGCGCTTGTTTGTTTCAGACGGTCCAGCAACGGTTGAGATGACACAACAAAGCTCTTTGATACAACGCGATCAGCTGACTCTTTAAACCCGTGAACCACTGACCATATATACACATCAATATAATTTAGAAAAATATTCCTCTTTATCTGAGTTTCAAGTAGAATTGTAGCATTCATTATAGCATTCAAGAATAAAATGAATGTGAAAAGAAATGACGAATAAAGGTATTTTACACCGAACCATCGAACCATAGTAGGTTACTTCTTTACAATGTAATATTCATAGAAATCCCGAGCCTCTTATGGCAAAAGGGTCGACTATGATTGTTGCCATTGTTATTTGTTTGAGGAGGACTGGGGTAAATAAACAAATTAGTTCTTGATCAGTGAACACCCTTGCAAAGCAGTGAGGTTGATCACGTGAACTTGAKCACCGCAGCTTCCTTTGATTCTTCGTCCAAAACCAGAAGTTTTGCAGAAAAGAAGAAGGCTCTGAAGTTTGATAAGAAATGGATGGGTAAGRAAAGAGTTATATGCTCGATGAAGAGTTGGGAAAAGTTTTAATGAATATATAATGCAGGACTGTTGGAAATGCAGCTCGGCAATGTCAATGCAGGGCAATATTTGAACATGAAATCGATCGTTGATTGARATTTGCGATATGACGACACAGTTTTAAATGGTGTGGTGTGCCCCAGACGTTCAGCGCAGTTATTGCCTGTCGCTTAAATAGTCGAACGTTTGCCCCGGGTTCAAGCTGAAAAGGCTGAGTCATGGTGCCAAATGAAAACCTTAAGTTTAACAGTTTAGTTCAGGACTGTTGGAAA